CCCCGCGTAATGCTTGATTTGGCCTTCTGTTTTTGAATAGACATCCGCCGAGGGCGCGCGAAGACCCCTCCCGGGGCCTTCCGCAACTCGGATCGCCGACGCCGCGGCCTCCGGGGCAAGGACAGGCGGCGGGTCCCAGTGGCCTTCGAGGACAGAGGCCCTGGCTTCCGGGCGACGCAGTCAGGCACGGGCAGATTCAAAGCAGCACTGGCCGAGCACAACTTGAAGACCGATTACAAACACTACGCCGGAAAGAAGCCTGGCAATCTTCAGGAGTTGCTTCGCGAGACTGCAGTGTCGTGAATCCGCCGCAGAAGAGCCCATGAATAGGATGACGAAGCCTTGGGAAGAAACGGCGGAGCAATTTGCCGCGCGCTTGAGGGCGTGGCCCAGCCCCGTGGAACGCCTTGGAAAAAGGGACACTGGTAGGACGCAAGGCTTCCCAAGGGTTCTCGCGCCAGGGGTTTTCGGCCTCCCGGAACGAATCCGCCGACCCTGTCGGCGTGCGTGGGGGGCCTGTCTGGTCCCGTCGACCGGACGCCTTTTCCGGTTATCCTTGCCCGTCGGGAAAGGAGGAGCACTCTCCCGTCGTCGGGGGAAGGAATCCGGGGATTAAGGGAAATCGACCCACGTCGCAGTCACGTCGAAGGGAGACCCCTTCCCCTTGACCCCAACTCTTGGGAAGCTACTAATGAATTCAGATTGATGATGGTCTCCTGTGGGAAGCTACGAATAAGAAAGACAACAAGTTACGAACCAGCTGACCACTATTACGGTCCGAAAGGTGGAAGCAAGATCGAGCAAAACATTAACCTACAGACGTCTCCTCTCCTATTCTTTTACGGGTGATGTGGAAAATACTTGTCATTATAGTTCGTTTTGACTCTCAATATTTTTAGCTTTCTCTTACATGAAAACAATTGTCTTTGCAAGAACCATGAGATCCTAGATCCTGGATCAATGATGGAATGAAAATTAATGACGACGGAGAAAAACCACAATCAGGGCTACAGGGCTAGGGGGCTACAGGGCTATAGGGCTACAGGGCTACAGGGCTATAGAGATATAGGGCTACCTATACGACCACCCTTCGGGTGATAAGGAGGTTCGGGGGGGGGGGGGGAACCAACATCTCACTCGATCGGTCTCACTATCGATCTCACAATCGATCTCACTATCGGTCTCGCTCGATCGATCTCACTCGGTCGATCTTACAATCGATCGCACTCGATCTATTTCATTCGATCGATCTCACAATCGATATGACTATCAATCTCACAATCGATCTCACAATCGATCTCGCTATCGATTTCACAATCGATCTCACATTCGGTCTCATTATCGATCCCGCTATCGATATCACAATCGATCTCACAATCAGCGTCATCATCATAATCATCAACATCCTCGTCATCAACGTCATCAACATCATCATCATTGGAACACCATCATCGTCACCATCACCTCATCACCACCATCATCAACATCAGCACCATCACCATCATCATCATCATCATCATCGGGACACCATCATCGTCATCATCATCATCAACATCATCATGATCGGGACACCATCATCATCGGAGCACCACCATCATCATCATCGTCATCTAATCATCATCATGAACAGCAACATCAACATCATCGTCATCGGAACACCATCATCATCATCATCATCATCATCATCAGCAACATCATCAACATCATCATCATTATCACCACCATCGGGGCACCATCATCATCGTCACCATTATCATCATCGCCATCATCATCATCGGAGCACCATCATCATCATCATCATCATCATCATCATCAGCATCATCATCATCATCATCATCATCATCATCATCATCATTATCGGGCCATCATCATCAAAATCAGCATCATCATCATCCTCATCATCATCATCGGGGCACCATCATCGTCATCATCATCAACATCATCGGGACACCATCATCATCACCATCGTTATCAACAGCATCATCATCAACCTCATCATCATCATCGGGACACCATCATCATCATCATCTTCATCATCACCAACGTCTCATTTTCATCACATCATCATCCTCAGGATCATCAACACCATCATCTTCATCATCATCATAGGGACACCATCATCACCATCATCAGCAACATCATCATCAACATCATCATCGGAGCATCATCATCATCATCGGGTCATCATCATCAAAATCATCATCATCGTCATCATCGGGGCACCATCATCGTCATCATCATCATCAACATCATCGGGACACCGTCATCATCACCATCGTTATCAACAGCATCATCATCAACCTCATCATCATCATCGGGACACCATCATCATCATCTTCATCATCACCAACGTCTCGTTTTCATCACATCATCATCCTCAGGATCATCAACACCATCATCTTCATCATCATCATAGGGACACCATCATCACCATCATCAGCAACATCATCATCAACATCATCATCGGGACACCATCATCACCACCACCATCACCATCATCATTATCAACATCGTCAACATCATCATCATCATCATCACCATCATCATCATCATCGGGTCACCATCATCACCACCATCATCATCATCAACATCATCAACATTATCATCATCATCATCATCATTATTATCATCATCACCATCATCATCACCATCATCATCATCGACATCGTCAACATCATCATCGTCATCATCAACACCATCATCATCATCATCAGCGGGACACCATCATCATCACCATCATCATCATCACCAACATCATCGACATCATCATGAATATCATCACCACCATCATCATCATCATCATCATCATCATCATCATCATCATCATCATCATCATCATCATCATCATCATCATCATCATCATCGGGACATCGACGGGACACCGGCGGGACACCAGCGGGACACCGCGGGCCACCCACCCCTGGAAAAGAATCACTTGGTCCGGCCGCGCCTCAGCCAAAGGCGGGACACCGGCGGGGCACCGCGGGCCACCGGCCCCCGGAAAGGAATCATTTGGTCCGGCCGAGCCTCAGCCGGAGGAGGCTTTCTTCTCGCCCGCCCACGCAGCTTCGCCTCGCCCGCACGCACGGCACGCACGAACACGAAACCGAAACCGATTTCCCGGTAGGGGGGCTCTCCGTTCCACTTCGATCTCACCACCTCACCTCCGATAGAGTTGCAGGGCTATAGGGCTGTTGGGCTTGGGCTACAGGGCTATAGGGCACCCCTGGACACCCCCGGGCACGCCCGGGCACCCGGGCACCCGGGCACGGGCACCCCCTGGGCACCCCCCGGGCACCCGGGCCCCCGGGCACCCCCAGGCACCCTGGCACCCGGGCGTGCCGCGAAAATCGGCGGCAAACCTAACCTAATCATATGAATCCGCTAGGACCCTACAGAGGCAAGCTCTGATTGGGGAACAAATCTTACATCAAATCTCTAAATTTTTAAACAGATTTTCCCATGATAATCTCCTTTTGACTCTCAATTATTCCCATATTCTCCTTTCCCATCTTTATGTTTTATGGGGGGGTCCGGGGGGGGGTCAGATTCGCATCGCCCCCTCCCAGGCCGGTCCTCCTCCGGTCCTCTTCCCCAGAGGGGGGGGGTCCCAGGGGGGAGTCCTTTCCCTCCTCCTTCTCCTCCTCCTCCTTCTCTCCACCTCCTCCTCCTCCTCCTACTCCTCCCCCTCCTCCTCGTCCTCCTCCTCCTCCTCCTCCTCCCCCTCCTGGTCGTCGTCGATGTCTTCCAGGGTCGGCGGCACCGGCCGTCAGGCCTTCACAAAAATTCACGAATGATTCAGGTGTGATTCCGTAGTGACTCAATGATGCTTCCGACTGCTTTGGAGTGATTCGGGACTTCGGACCCCCAACAAAGCGCGCGCGGGCTACGCCCCAAGATGATTCAGGCGCCACCAGTGACACCTGTTTTATAATGCTACAGGAAAGCAGGGCCGCTGCGCGGCCTCTGCGCAGCCCCCCGCCCCTTTCGGCTATCCGAAAAGAGGTGGCGTGTCTAAATTTTTGCCACCGCTCGGGCCCATGAAATGGGCCCCCGTTCGGGCCCCCAGAATTCTACCACCGTGAGTGCGTTTGCGTGCGTATGTGCACGTGCGCGTGCGAACGTGTGTGCACGTGCACGTGCGCGCGCGGGTGCGCGATGTGCTCGCGCGTGTTCAACGCCAGAAAACCCGACACTGAATCCCAAGAGGAAACCTGGGCCCCCTTGTAGGGGTGCCCAACTACTACGGCTGTTATATCGCGGTGAGCAGTGGCCCAAGTGAGTCTGAGTATGAGTGAGTCTGAGCATGACTGAGCCTGATTGCAATAGAGTCTGAGTGAGTCTGAGTGAGAGTGAGTCTGAGTGTGAGTGAGTCTGAGTATGCATGAGTCTTAGGGTGAGTGAGTCTGACTATAAGTGAGCCTCAATATGAGCGAGTCTGAGGAAGAGGGAAGGGAGGGTATGAGGTGTGAGGGAGGTCTGGAAACGTCCGAGCATTAACAAAATACCCACCTGACAATATGAGGTGAATCTCACACTGCCCGGAGACCTGGGACTCTCCTAAGCTCTCCGCGGCTGTGCTGGCTCCCCTGACGGGCTTCGCCTCCCTCCTCCCCCTCCTCATCCTGCTTCTCCTCGTTCTCCTCCTCTCCTCCTCAGCTTTCTCCTCCTCCTGCTCTTCTTCCACTCCCTCTCCTTCCCTTCTCCTCCTCAGCTCCTCAGCCTCCGTCTATGATAAGCGCGTTCCACTACTCGCGAAGTAACTACTCGCAAATGGCCTGGATCCACCATGGCATGGGGGATGTACGATACATGACACCGATGCAGACATGTGATTCTCGGACGTTTGCGAGAAGGCACTTTGCGAGTAGGAGCACGCGCTTGGTGACTTCAAGGGAGGCCCAGGAGAAGGAGGAAGAGGAGGGGGAGACGGAGGAGGACGGGGCCGACGTCGACGCCGACGGCGGCGACATCGGCGATAAGGCGGGCGGGCACGACTCCTGGCGTCTCGCTGACCGGGCCGCCGCGTGGGCATCGTGCTGGCGCCCGAAGGCCGCCAGGGCCTCTGCTCAGCGGGAGGGCGGCCGTCGCCGTCGTCGTCGTGTGCCTGGAGGCCACTGCAGAGGGGGTCCGAGCAGGTGATGTCGGAGGATCGCCCCGCATCACCGACGCATCGGCGATGCCGGCTTGGAGGAGATCGGGCCCCTCATCGAGCCGCATGGCCGATGCGTCGGCGATGCGGCGCGGTCCTCCGACCCCTTCCATTCGAACCCCATGTGGAAGGGTTGGGATGTCGGGGGTGGACAGGGCAACCGTGGGCAAACACCCTTCTGGGGTCTATCGCGGGCGGCTGCTCTGGGGGGCCGTACGGCACGACGGATGGCCGCGTATGCGTGTACACTCTGTCTGGCGCGTGAGCCGCCAACTCCCTTAGTGAAAGAATATGTATGTGCACTCTCTCTTTTCTCTCTCTCTCTCTCTCTCTCTCTCTTTCTCTCTCTCTCTCTCTCTCTCTGAATGAAAATATGTGGCCGTCAACTCTCTCTCTCTCTCTCTCTCTCTTGACGGTCTCCGTCGGCATGGACCTACCGCCTTGATGGCCTACTTCGGATCGACGAATCCCTCCACGGCCTCCTTCTGAACTGGCGATCCCCCTTGGCCGCTCACATTGACGGCCTCTGTGCAGAGTGACGAACCCTCTTGACGGCCTCCCTCCAAATTGATGATCCCCGCTGACGGCCACCCCTTGAAGTACCCCCCCCGCCTTGACGAACGACAGTTCAGGGCCGGGCTCCGAGCTGATGGTCGACGACGGTTCGCGCCTTCACAAATGAAATGTTGGGGCCGAGTTGACGGCTCCTCTCGCCTTGAAGACTGAAGGAAATGCTGGAGCCGAAGTGACGATTGCGTTCGCTTCGGCCCACGAACTGTTCGGGCAGATCGGAAGATTTTCTGATACAGTTTTACACTGTTCGACAGTAACCTGGAAGTGCTGGTCGATAACCGAACCGTTTCGCTTTGGGCAGCCCCACGTATGCCCGCGAACACAACTATTACGCGCCATCTTCGGACCTGCGCAGCCGACGAGGCCAGGCTATCTGGGAAGGAGGGGTGGGGGGGGGCAGGCCCGATAACCCGGGCTATCGCTGGACCTTGACAAAATAATCCTTCTCCTTGACGAACGCAGTCGGTGTTTCAGAGATGGGGTCCTGAGGGAAGGATCTACATGATTTGAGGCACCTCGTCCTTAGGACCGCATCCTCATCTCGCCATCATCTTCAGCTAAGACTGTATCCGATCGGGATCTCGCCGAATCTTGCCCTCGTCCACGACCAGAACCTCCTGAGGCCCAAACACCCGCAGCCGGCAACGGCAGAACGCCAGCAACACATTCCAAGGAGTCTGCTTGCCCTTCGGACCCCCCTGAAACATTGAGCAGTGGGTGCACGGCTTCCACCGGGGCCGTAGGCGACCCGAGGAGGAAGAGGAAGAGGAGGAGTTGGAGAAGGTGGAGGAGGGAGAGGAGAAGATGGAAGAGGACGAGGAGGAGGAGGAGGAGGAGGAAGAGGAGGAGGAGGGGGAGGAGGGGTCGCCTAAGCCCTTCGGAGAAACCCTCCAGAAGTGGGTACCCCAATCGGTAACGTCTCATCCGACTCGATGTCGTCGGAACCCATCTTCGAGCAGCTGGCCCAGGCACGCGCCGCCTCAGCCAGTGGGCCGGCCCCGGCACAGTGGCACGCGAGGAGGACCTCCGCGGCGGGGACCCGCCGGGCGCGAGGTGTGTCCCGCAGGGAGTGCACAGAACTGCGGCCGCAGGCGGCCCGCCCGAGGACCATGAAAGGGCAGTGCGCGACTCGGCCTGGTGAGGCTTCCTTCTGCGGCGCCTCGGCACTGGGCGGACGGGGGAGGGGGTCCCCGCAGGGAGCACAGAACTGCGGCCGCAGGCCGCCCGCCCGAGGACCGGGAAAGGGCAGTTCGCGACTCGACTTAGTGAGGTTTCCTTATTCGACGTCTCGGCATTGGGCGGACGGGGGGGGGTCTGGCTCCAGACCTCTGCTGAATGCGGCTGTTTGCAGCAGTGCGTCCTGTGGGGCAGGCTTCACCTGCTCGGAACGGGCGCCAAACAGCCAAGATCTGCTCCATGGGAGGGGGAAGGGGTGCGAGGGCCCGCGCCGATCGGCAAAACAATGAATATGAAAAGATCACTTGGCAGGGCTCGGGTCGGGAACTTTTGCTGCGCGTGTCGCAGTGGCGGCCCTGGCGACACGCCTTGCCCTGCAAGCGGATAGCGTGGCGCTCCGTTCCGCGGGGCGGGAGGCTCTGAAAGGCTCGGGACGTTGGCGCTTGGAAATGTGGCGCGCCGAAGCGTAGTGGTTCAAAACTGGCGGAGCGCTAGAGTAAGCCAGAGCTCCAGACCGTATGCCAGGTCTGCCTCAACCCAGGTCGGCCAGGGCCATGTCGCGAAGCCCTGCCAAGCGCTCAGTAGCTCGCAGACCGGGGTCAGTGGAGGGCGGTAAAGAGAAATCGGCCCTGCGTGGTTCCCAGACCCGCGTCAGCCAGAAGGGGTTGATTGGCCCCCGTTACGCTGACCCCCGTTGCGTGAGCCCCGAGGGGTGGTGGTTGGAAGCGGCGGGGGGGTCTGCGCTGGATCGGTCTATGAGTCCATACTGAAACGATCAGAAAGTGCCATATCCCAAAGGATATCCCCTACGCCTACCCCGCGATCAAAATAAGAGATTGCGACCCTAAGCCTACCTGCCCCCCCAGAGGTCAACATCGCTGTTTGAAAGCATCCTGCTCGCGTGTTCGAAACATGCGCAGTGTTGTGAAGTTCACTGGACGTGGGCTCTATGGGTGCATGGGAAGGGCCATAAAATATCTCGTGGACGTCGCCACTCCTGGATGGTTTTTAGGGGATCTGTATTCGGCGCTGGCGGAAATGAAGTCGGAATGGAGCTTTTGGAATCGCCTATCTCGTACCAGTGTGCTCGATGTGAAGAGGTCATGCGTTTCCCTGGTGCGTGGCTGACACGGGTCAGGCATACGAGACGATTCGCTTAGAACGAATTTGGAAAACCATCGATGGTCTTTTCAAGCGTGTCAAGCAGTGGTTCCCATATAGGTGCATCTCAGTCTTGAAGCCTCGTCGTGCGCATGTTTTCCCAGGATGTACGATCACTGCCAAATTCTGGCATCGTACGGTGTTCACCATGTCTCTGCTGCGTCGTGTCCTTACAAGTTTCATGGGCTTCCGCTTTTTCCTGTGCGCAAGGTTCTGTCCCACGAGTGCCTGGCAAATGCTGTGGAAAACCAGGCAACAGCATGTTCGTTGCGAGTGTTTATGTGGATGATCTCCCCCTCCTATCCTACACCGTGTGCCAGAACTGCCCACATCTACATATCCAAATGTATGTGGGAAGACTGTACTGCCAGACGTCGAGAATACTGATTCTGCTTTACAAGACAATGCTAGTTTCCCGTGGTTGGAAATGGGACTGCATGTATCAGTCAATAGAGTTCTGGTACATTGTATCCATAAGAATGAAGCATTTGATTCCACGGGGGATGTTTCGCGTAGGGCTATACATAGCATTCCTCTGCACATGGTCTTCTATAATCGACGGAACCGTGTACAAGATCGTAAAGAACTAACAGGTCGTCCTCGGCGTTGAGAACGTTTGGACCTAACCCAGGAGAATGCGTTCTCTTGTATTGCGTGGATGTGTTGGTCGACCTCCGACTGGGGTACCCGTGCTCTCTAATCAAGAAGGTCTGGTGTACAGCCCTCCCCCTGGGCCCAGCTACAGCGTCCTGTGGTCAAGTTTCCAGCTCAGATTTACAACTTGCGCTCATCTGTTATCCCCACCATCTTCCACTGCAGCCGCGCTTACTACAGCCAGGGAGCTAGCACGGGCCCGTCAGGCTGACCAAGCCACCTCTCCCCGCAATCCACCACCGGCTGCCATGGGCGGCCAGAACTGGGCAGAAGGTGGCAAGGGTGGCGAGCAGCAGTGGGGATATAGCTACAGCAGCGGCTGCAAGGGTCAGTTCAGTGGCGTGGCCAACCAGTGGAAGACCCTGATGTCTGAGATGCAGGCCATGGGTAAGATGAGCCAAAGATCACAGATGCTGGCCCAGCAGAACGACAGTATGCAGCGTTTGAATGGTTCCAGTTCTGCTGGCCAGCCTTCGACTCCCGAGGCGGCGACCGATCATCTTGTGCAAGCGGTAACGGCAATTCTCGAGAACAAGGCCAGCAAGGGTCCGCCCGACGCGAGACTCACCAATACCATCAATCGCCTGCATGAGCTGATGGGAAACTCTAGTAGTCACGAGTCTTTCGATCTTGAGCACCATCCAGCCTTCCAGGAGCGGCGGGCCGACATGGCCGGCCGGCCTGACACTGTGGGAGCTCAGGGCAGGCAACTTGGTTGCAATCAGCGTGCCGAGAACGAGACGCACCGTCAAAGATATGTGTTTGTTGCTTCTACGATGAACGCTGCACCACCATTCGCCTCTCCATGCAGGTCATGGGCCCCATCTCGGCGGGCAAGCTGCGGCCACAGACAGAGCCAGGGAGGTGGACTGCAGGTGTCCGCGCCCATCCTACCACCACCCCAACATGCGAGTAGGTCCCTTGCTCCGCTCGGTGGTACCTATGAGGGATGCGACGGAGAGAGGGGGAGGAGGAGGAGGAGGAGGAGGAGGAGGAGGAGGAGGATCAAAGATGTGCTTGCAGAGATGCGCTCGTTCACGAGTTTCCCCCCCACACACGCAGACGGGCCAAGGCGGTGCCCGTGCTCCGCCCGGACTCACCACGCGGGGCCCTCCGACCACGGCGGAGGAGGTTGGCTGGCCGCGGGTTGGCAGGGAGATCGCCGAGAGCGTCCACGAGTCGGGCCTCGCGACGCTCGGCATTCGAGGGGGCCGTGCTTTGGCCAGGGAGTTGTGCCAGACGGTGACAGATGCCTCGGATTGCCTGTCGCGGAACGACGGGCCGCACTCCAGAAGTGTAAGTCGGTGTCCTAGTGGCGCACCAAACGTGTCTCCCCTGGTGCAAAAAAGAGGTATGTGTATAGAACCTCGGTCTTGAACAGATCGGCGAGATCCTGTCCAATTGTGTTAGGGAAGAAACACGGTATCCGACAAGAGCCTCCAGACCATCAAGCTGCCGTGAATCAGTACTTCGCTGTCGCCGGCGCATTCAGGTCGTTCTACGCGTTGGTCTCTGCCAGGTCTTGGACGAATGATGCAATGCGTGGCAGCCTTTTTTGATTATATGGTGTGGTCTGCAATGTGCCTACCTGATCCTCGATACCCGATGCGCGTTGGAGAACGTCCTGGAGCAGATGTACATGAAAGTGTCGACTACTGTACCCTTTGCTGTATTGAAATGGCTCGCTGGTAGTTTCCTGCACGGGAATCTGAGCTCAGTGGTTGACGCTGCTCACACAGGGGAGAAATGGTCGACCTTCGCGAAGGATCCGTCTGCGGTCATGGGGAGAATGACCACAGCGAATGGACGTTTGCAATGGCTCATGAGATCCGCCGGCCCCCTTGTGGTGCCACCAGGCTGTAGGCGCGGGTTCGCAGTTTCCAGTACCAGTTGTAGCTTGTAGTTTCCAGTGTTACAGTTCTGCTTCTTGCTGGTTACTGTAACTAGTTGATTGACCGCGCGAGGGGGGGGGAGGCCCAAACAGGATTTTTAGCACCCCCTGGGCGCGTTGTCTGAATTGCTGGGGGGGCTCGAAATCGACACCCCTCACGCAGATCCGCGGGGTCAGGGTCCAAAAACACAGGGGATTTCCCACATTTCTGAAATTCGGTGCCACCCCTCACGCAGATCCGCGGGGTCAGGGTCCAAAAACACAGGGGATTTGCTACATTTCTGAAATTCGATGCCACCCCTCACGCAGATCCGCGGGGTCAGGGTCCAAAAACACAGGGGATTTGCCACATTTCTGAAATTCGGTGCCACCCCTCACGCAGATCCGCGGGGTCAGGGTCCAAAAACACAGGGGATTTGCCACATTTCTGAAATTCGGTGCCACCCCTCACGCAGATCCGCGGGGTCAGGGTCCAAAAACACAGGGGATTTGCCACATTTCTGAAATTCGGTGCCACCCCTCACGCAGATCCGCGGGGTCAGGGTCCAAAAACACAGGGATTTGCCACATTTCTGAAATTCGGTGCCACCCCTCACGCAGATCCGCGGGGTCAGGGTCCAAAAACACAGGGATTTGCCACATTTCTGAAATTCGGTGCCACCCCTCACGCAGATCCGCGGGGTCAGGGTCCAAAAACACATGGGATTTGCCACATTTCTGAAATTCGGTGCCACCCCTCACGCAGATCCGCGGGGTCAGGGTCCAAAAACACAGGGGATTTGCCACATTTCTGAAATTCGGTGCCACCCCTCACGGACATCCATCGCAAGGCGTGGTAACCCAAACTGCGAGTACTCCCTCGGCCCTTTAATCCCAAGGTGTGGTAACCAAGCTCGTAAACCATACACGTCTTACCAATCGCCCTGTGTGGTAACCCCTCTTGTGATCAGTTGGTTTTGCCGATTGCAAATCGGCCTCGCATGAAGTTCCGATACTGCTGCGCGACAGCGCCAAAGCCTCATGACTTAGCTCTTCCATGGCCCATTCTCCGAGAGGGGGGGCCGGCGGCAGGGGGCGAAGCCCTTACGGATAAAACATATTTCGAGAACCGCATTCCTTCTGTGCAAAATGACGTAGGTGTCTGATCGGGCACTGAGGATGGTGACAATGTTTATGGTGGCAGGGCCGTGAGACTCGTGATCAACATCCTGTCCTGTGATCTTGAGTTGGTTTTCTTGTTTACTCAAGTACTTGCCCCACCCCTCTTAAGGGAGGCGTGTGTATGTCTTTCTGCAGATTACGACTGCTGCATGTTCCGTCTTGCATTTCAGGGGCTGTGCCTTAGGTCATACACAGTTTCGGGTGTAGTTGAAGATAATATGGTGTGCTGCTGTCCTCACAGCTCAATGCCCCTTCTGCGCACTCTGTGCTGCGTGACCAAGCCCCGCAGGGCCGATCACCGCAATTTCCAGGCAAGACTGCAGGCGTTGATGCACACACATGCATGTTTCCGTGCCTCTCTGTATCTCTGTGCCCGTGTACACGCTGATTGCATATCGCCGTTTGTGATCAAATGATTCTTGGCCAGTTGCCTGGCGCCTCACACAGAGTTGAGGCCAGCGTCGCCGACGCAGCAGCTGACGTTCAAAGACATGCCATGGTTTTCAAGCAAGGCCAAAAAAACATGCATATGACTTCGACGCTGTGGCACCGTATACGAAATCAGAGTGGCCCTCAGCGCCTTGAATTCCGAGTCTTTCGACACCGCGGAGATGTCTTGGGCTATGCTATTGAATGTCTGGTATGTTGTTGGGCTGTGGTCTGAGTGGTTTCTTGGGCGTGCAACGCAGTCCTCGGAGAAAGTGTCAGGGCGTTCCGGCAGGACCTCGGGGGGGACTTCACGGACCACAAGAGCCTCGAGGTTAAGAGATCGGAGTACTTCTCATCCTTGCAGCGCGTGTGTGTGCGTGTCTGTCTGTCTGTCTGTCTGTGTGTGTTGTGTGTTGTGTTGTGTGTTGTGTGATGTGTGTTGTGTGTTGTGTGTTGTGTATATATATGTTTTCCTTGCACGAAGACCGCCTGATCCGCCTTCCCCTCAAGGGGGAGATCCTCACCGCACTCCACCAAGTCGTGACGAACCACCGCAGGACACTGAGAGATGTTAGGCTGCGCGCCAGACACACCCCAGTCCGGCAATAAGGAAGCAGCCGCAAGAGAAGGGGAGGGCGAGGGGAAGGAGCAGGAGGAGGAGGAGGGGGAGAGCAGGATAACAGAAACAGAAAAGACGCTGCACCGAGGATGCTCCGTGAGTCACCACGAAAGCGCGCGGCACACTGACGGCTCGAAGAGAAGGGAGCGAGGGGGAGAAGGGGGAGGAAGAGGACGAGAAGGGAGGGAGGGAAGGGAAGAGAAAAAAAGGCCTGCAGACAGCCTCGATGCCGTGTGTTGTGTATATGTGTGTATGTGTGTCTGTGTGTGCGTTGTGTTGTGTGTTGTGTGTGCGTGCGTGCGTATGTGCGTGCGTGCGTGCGTGCGTGTGTATGAATGTGTGTGTGTGTGTGAATGTGTGTGAGCAAATGTGTGTGAATGTGTGTTGTGTGTTGTGTGTTTATATTGTGTGTTGTGTGTTCTGTATTGTGTGTTGTGTGTTGTGTCGTGTGTGTTGTGTGTTGTGTCGTGTGTGTTGTGTGTTGTGTGTGTGCGTATGTGTGTGTGCGTGGTGCGTGCGTGCGAGCGTGCGTGCGCGTGTGTGCGTGTTCAAACCAGCATGCGTGCAAAAGCGGGGGCGAGGCCACCAGGCCGAACGCAATAACAACCCCGACGATTGTACGACACATGTTCTGAACTACTGATGTCTTAGACGGCCCCACCGTTTTAGGCGCAAGACACAAACAACAGCTCCCAGCAAGGACAAGTTTGAGAAAACAAGCGCGATGGACTTCCAGCCCGTTTTTTACACACGCCGCTTCTGACACATACTCGGCCTGATGATTTTCTGCTGCCCCGAACCAGTGCTGGGCCACCTGGGCCACCCAGCCCGCTCCGAGGTGGAGTTCCTCTCTCAACCTCGGAGAGAACTGCGGAGGGAGGGCTCCATTCCCCGACCCCTTGGGTGGTCCTGCGAGCGGAGGCTCGAGAGCCAGAGGCAGGGGCGCCGGCCTGAACAGTGCGTGCCACTTCCGTTTCGTGCTCGCTGCCTCCCGCTCTGGTGTCGGGCCGCCTTTGCGGCAGAACGAAGTCAGAGCGAAGGCGGTCCACGAAGTCGCCCAGAACACCGTTCAGGCTTGGGCTCGGCCCTGGGCAGAGGATCGGCGGCACGCCCTGGTGGGCTCGTCTTCCACCGCCACCGCCGTGAGCAGGAGGGGGAGGGCCTCCTCCTCCTCCTCCTCCTCCTCCTCCTCCTCCTCCTCCTCCTCCTCCTCCTCCTGACTCACCACGCGGTGCGGTCGCAGCGCCTCGCGGGGGGCCCCGAGCCTGGCGTAGCCCCCGGGGCGGCGGCCTCTCCAGGAGGCCCTTCCCCCCCCCCGCCGCGGGGCGGCACTCTCGCACGGGCCGACGTGGCGCGCCTTCCGCGCGGCGCCGCTGCGCGCCACGTTGACCTCGGCGCCCGTGGCCGTGACCTGGTCGACGTCCCTCTCGCGGAAGCCCTGCGCGCGCGGAGCGCGGGGAGATGCGGGTACGCCACGAAAGCATATTTGCACAGACACCCTCCGACGGACTTGACGTATACCTCCAGGGAGGGGACGGTGCACAGAGTCGCTGGCTCCCAGTGGTGATTTCTACACCGCCACCCTCCCCCGAGGCCCAGGAACAATCCAGTGGAGGGCGTCTGTGCTTTTTTTGTGGCGGAGGGGGGCACCAGCGAGCGGAGCGGGCGAAGAAGGCCGTGCACGTGCCCCCGAGCCTGGCCAGACGCATCCTCGGGCCGGGATCGGGGCACACGCCTGCCCGGGCAGGCCAGGAGGGCGCGTGCACCGATCCTGGGCTCAGGCTGGGCCTGGCCAGGATCGGTTTCTGTGCAGGGTCCCTCGCTCTTCTGGGCGAAGGCTCTCGGATTCTAGGTCAGCCTCGCGCGCGCCCACGAGGGGCACACGGGGTCCAGGCAGAGGAAAAACATGCAGCCACCGGGGACGACGGCGGCGGTGGCGGGCGAGACTGCGACGGCGGCGACGACACGACAGGCGACCGACGAAGCACCTGCGACGAAGCACCTGCAACGGCGCGACCGACGGCGGCGACGACAACGACAACGAGGCAGCTGCCGCTCGCGCGGGGAGGGACGAGGAGAAGAAGCCTGACGTCCTCCACTCACGAACAACACTCACGACCAACCATTCAGAACCGACAAGTATTGCCTTCTCACCTGTCGCCAAATTCGTTTGTTCCCCCTTCTATGCTCGTGTCAACGTCGTCGTCGTCCTCCTCCTCCGAATCTTGTGGGCCAGTGAGGGGCTATCCCTATGCAAATGCCCACTGGGGAACCGTAACGTTCAGATAAATGCCTCCTGGGGCCCTCGCCAGGCCCCAGGACCGTAGAAAGTGGCTCGGTATGAAAAGGTGGTCCCTGGGCAAGGGTCCAAACCTCTGGGGAGTCTGGGAGGACACTTTGTGAAAATGTCATGGCGACGGATGAGTGGGGAGGAGAAGGGGGCAGGATGAGGGGAGGGTGATAGACACAGAACGTCTGTATGAGCATAACTTCTCGGGCTCTTGGATCGCATCGGTACCTCTTGGACCGGTGCTCTTGGATAGCGACATAAAGCCTGCGCGGATGTCTTGGATCGGCACTGGATCCCCCTGGCGGCGCCAGAAAGATCCAGCACACAGGGCACCTTAGTGGGCCCTGAAATCGGCAGGGCCGTTTTTTTACCCGGTTCCGTTTTGCCGCGTTTTGCTGGTTCCGACGCCGTTTTTGTTGCCAGTTCCGTCGCCGTTCTTCTAGGGGTTCCCGCTCTGGTTCCACTCCTGGAGCCGTTTTCGTTGCCGTTTCCGGTCGCCTTTTTTTACAGTTTCCATTCTCAAGGGGCACTTTTGCGGAAACGGTGAAAACACGGCCCTGCCGTTTCCGGGGCCCACCACGCTGCGCGACAGAGCGGCGAAGCTGTCTCCGCCGCGCCGCGGCCTCTGCAGGGCCCGACCCAGACGTCCCGCGGCCGAGGGGCCTCCTCCTCCTCCTCCTCCTCCTCCTCCTCCTCCTCCTCCTCCTCCTCCTCCTCTCCTCCTCCTCCTCCTCCTCCTCCTCCTCCTCCTCCCTCCTCCTCCTCCTCCTCCTCCTCCTCCTCCTCCTCCTCCTCCTCCCTCCTCCTCCTCCTCCTCCTCCTCCTCCTCCTCCTCCTCCTCCTCCTCCTCCTCCTCCTAAGCCCCGCGGAGGGCTTCGTTGGCGACTGCTGCTGTGCCCTCGGCTCGCGCCGGGCCGCCCGCGAGCAGCGTCGGACTCCTGCGCGGCGCGCCCTCGGGAGAAGCCTCTCGCCTGCTCGCGCGCGAGCGCGGCGTCGTCGCAGGCCGTCGCAGCCTCTGGTGGGGGCCCCTGGCGGGCCCTGGCGGCCAGGGGAGAGGCCCTCTAGGAGCCTCTGGCCCGAAAACCTTCGGGCACCCCCCCCGTGCGGGTTTGGCTACGCCACGAAACTATATGCACAGACACCCTCCGAACAAAAACGTTGCATGTACCTTCTGGGAGGGCGGCGGTGTAGAAAGTCGCAATGGTGCTTTACAAGGCGGGTACGGCCGCAAGAAACCCAACCCTTAAAGTCCACGCGCGAGGCGCACCGAGCACACTGAGGGGGAACTCCGAGCACACTGAACGCAGCAGCTTCATCAACGGCTGCGGAAAGTCAACGCGCAGCGCGCGGAGCGAAGAACACCAGGGTACCCTGACGAAAAGCACATGGTTTCTTGATGCGCGCCCTCACTGTATACACCGCCAGACTCCCCTGAGGCTCCGGAACAATCTTAGGGGAACGAACAATGACACAAACATAAAAACTCGGAAGTCCGAGCGGATTCCTCGGATCCGCGCTGGACCCCCCTGGCGGCGCCTCCGGCGCCGCCCCTGTCACGCTCCGCGCGCCAGGGAGGGGGGTCAAGCGCCGATCCGAGAAACCCGCGCGGACCTCCGAGTTGTTGTGTTTATGTCGTTGTTCGTTCCCCTAGATCCAGTGGAGGGTGTCTATGTTAGGGCGACGCAATCTATACATATCCACTGCTCCCTGGCCAGGCCCATCCTGAACACAGCAGCTGTGTATACGCCACGCCCTCCTGGTTTGGCCAGGAGGGCGTATACACAGCTCCTGGGTTCAGGATGGGCCTGGCCAGGGAGCAGTGGATATGTATAGATTGCGTCCCCCGATATGTACATTTGTTTGTGGCGGGTTGGCACACTGCTTCGCTCGGTCTGCGGCGCCCTGGCTCCAAGCTGCGGCCGTGGCTGCGGCAGGGCTGCGGCAGTGCAGAGGGCGGCGAGGAGCGGCGGACGGCCGGAGCCGGCGCCCACGCAAGCGTGGGGCACGTGGGGTTTCGTGCAGGAGCAGGCGCAGGAGGAGGAGGAGGAGGAGGAGGAGGAGGAGGAGGACTGCGATGACGAGGGGGGGAGGGGGGAAGGAGGAAGAGGAGGGGAGGAGGAGGAGGAGGAGGAGGAGGAGGAGGAGGAGGAGGAGGAGGAGGAGAAGGAGGAGAGGAGAGAAGGAGGAGGAGGAGGAAGAGGAGGAGTGTCCCAGAAATGCCCCTGGGGTCCCTCTCTCGCTCTTCTCCTGTCCTCCGCTGTTCTTGTGTGCCTCCGCAGCCTTTGGTTTAGATCTCGTGAGTTCCCTGTACCGAGTCCAGAATACTAAAACATCCGTTTCAGCCCCATCCTGTGTTCCCCGTGTCCGCACTGACTCCCGAGCCCTATCACAGGAGGAGGAGGAGGAGGAGGAGGAGGAGGAGGAGGTCCTCATGGCTGTCGGTGCGTCTGCGGAGGCACAGGGGCTCGGGCTCGAGGGGCGAGGAGCCGAGCTGCTCGGCCTCGGCCTCGCCATCGCTCAGACGTCCATTCCCCGTGCATGTGTGTAGCTATCGTGCGTGTTTTTTTTGTTGCTCGAGGACCCAGGATGCTCCTCGAGGGTCCTCGCCGAGGATGCCCGTCCCCGGCAGGGCACACCCCGAAGAGGGAGATGGAGGCAGAGGAAGGAGGAGGAGGAGGAGGAGGAGGACGAGGAGGAGGGGGAGGATGAGAGGATGAGGAGGAGGTGCACATCTATGCACGCCACAGGGAAACCTTAGGTCGGCCTAGCGTAGAAAAGGAGGTGCACACGTCCGAGCGGTGCCAGGCGGCCAGCTGCTCCACCAGCCTGCTCTCGGCTCGCCCTGGTGCCCTCGGAGGCCGCCGGCAGGAGGTGGGAGGCCACGCCGGCAGGGGCGGCGGCGGCGGCGGGACGCGGCGGCGGCGGTCTGTGCCTCCCGGCAGCCCACGGGAGGGGTATTCGGCTGGCCACGGGTGGCGTGCAGTCGGCCCGTCTCGCAAGCACGCGCGGCAAGGATGCAGGGGCCTTGGAGGGCCGTTTCGGAGCTTTTCGAGCGGGGCGCGGCCAACGAAAGTGGGCGAGGATAGGCCGAGGAGGCAGGGATGCAATGGTGCCCTTGGGAGAACTGCCCGTCCTTACCGTGCGGGTCGACCGCATCGGCTGGAGCCAGGACGGGTTGAGCCATAGCGGCCCTGAGCCAAAATGGCGACGGGGCGAGGGGCAGGAGGCGGAGGAGGAGCGAGAGGAAGAGGGAAGAGGAAGCGCAAGAGCAGGAGGTGAGGCCGGGACGGCGGAGGGAGGGGCTGGATGAGGAGGAGAAGGAATCTGAGGGATTTCGAAGTCCCAGGGGGTCATCCAGAGGCCTTTCGAGGCCTCGAGGTCCCGAAAATAAAGACAAGGACAAATACCCGAGACGTACCTAGCCCCTTCTCCACGAGAGGCGACGATTTGAAAGAACGCTCCAAAAAAACGCATCGCAAGCAAGATCTGCGCTGCCCTCACCTCCGCCGTGCCTCCCAGGAGCCCACGAAATTGACGACGGTGGCGCAGGTCGTAGCCCTCGCAGGAGCCGCGAACCTCCGCCGCGCCTCCCACGAGAGTGACGACAGTGGCGCAGCCCCCGAGGGAGCCGCGAGGTTTCGAAATGATATGCGCTGCATCACCTTCGCCGTGCCTCGCGGGAGCCCAAGAAAGTTACGACAATTGCGCAGGTCGCAGCCCTCGAGGGAGCCGCGAGGTCTCGAAGTGATATGCGCTGCTTCACCTTCGCCGTGCCTCCCAGGAGCCCACGGGAGTGACGACAGTGGCGCAGGTCGAGGGAGCAGCGAGGTCTCGAAGTGATCAGTGTGGCCCTCACCTGCGCCGTGCCAGGAGCCCACGGGAACGACGACAGTGGCGCAGTTCGCAATCCCCGAAAGAGCCGCGAGGTCTCAAAATGATCCGCGTGGCCCTCGCCTCTGCCGTGCCTCCCAAGAGCCCACGAGCGTGACGACAGCTGCGCAAATCGCAGCCCCTCGAGGGAGCCACGAGGTCTCAAAATGATCCGTGTGGCCCTCACCTCCGCCGTGCCTCCCAGAAGCCTACGAAAGCGGCGACGGTTGCGCAGCTTGCAGCCCTGCAGGAGGAGGGCGAGGAGGAGGCTGAGAGGG